AAGCCTGAAAGTTTTACCTTGACCACTTCACTACAGTAGAATTTTAATATTAAATTTACATGCTAACTGAACTGTTTAAAGATGTATCTTTTTCATACTGCAGACCTAGTCAGCCTAACAGTCTCTCCTTGCTGTAATGAGAAATCTCCATTCTTTCATACAAGCTACTTATGTTCCAGTTGCCAGTGTTCATTATCATCATAATGGACTGATGTTATTTCAATATTTCTATACAAAGATGCTTTAATCAGAAGGACCATCTAGAGCAAATATCAGTTAATTCCAGTGGGCTCTACCTCCAGGTGTTTAAACACAAACAGCAGTTCGATTTCCACAGTAGGGCTAGAGGAAAAGACAGCTGTCATGATGCTTCACTGCAAACCTATTTTTACGGCATCTGTAACCCACAGAATCGCTATCTTCTCTATAGTAATATAAAGATTAACACCTATTGCACACCTGCTCATCTAGCTTAAGTGCCACGCACAGACTTTTCTAATAGAAACACTTTAGAAACTGCTGCAAAGGTCAGTAGTGCATCAGCTACAAAAACAGGAGCAGCAACTTCTCTTTAGTATAGCTCCAAGTCCAAATAAACTTTAAATACCTCACATGACAGTGTAAAGGAAGGAGTTGGAGGGGGAGGGGAAGAAAGTTATGGCGCATCCTCTACGCTAGGCTTTTGCAGGTGCATGCATTTTCTTAGCAATTTCATAAAACTTCCTCCCACTCTTGAATATAAGCTTTAAAATTCCCCATACTAGCTAAATAGATACTGTAGTTTTAAAGCATTAGAAAGAAAGCCTGTATATTGGCCTCGAGACAGCCTTTCACCAAGCAGATATGCAAGTATCCCAGCCATCCTGCAGGCAGGGGCTGCCAATGGACAGCAGTTTAAACAGATCTACAGTAGACAATGAGTATGACTGTGAGTATAATGTTCTTGTGTCTTAGTTATAACACTCAGTTGCTTTACCGGTTTTTGAAGAACAAACTTAAATGGTAAATCCTTTCTGAAAACTTGTATAATATAATATAAAGTTGTTATACATAAGTATTCCATAACAGGGAAAAAGCCAAGTCTGGACTAGCATCAAATACAAAATAGGACATTTGACATCCTTTTATTTTTTTAGTGTTTCAATCACAGTCAGTTTCTAGGTAATCTAGCTCCCCCAAAAGACCTTATTTTATAAATACATATGAATGATCATTTTTGTCTCTTGTCTTATACTGAAAATTTCTTATATTGAAATGTTCTGCTTTCACAAGCCTCAAGTACTTTTTTTTTTAAGCAGAGAAAATAAGACCTTCCTTTCACTCGGCTTCCAGTAGTAAGCTTTAATAAATGCTAAAGTTTGCTTAAAGCCCCATCTGCTGGTCAAACATTGCACTTAGTACTGTAATAACCGTATGGTGGTATAATTGGCAGTCCAGGAAAGATGCAAGAGACAGATTTTTTTGGATGCTGTTATTTTTATTGGAGCAACTGAATAGTTAGAAACTTTATACACATTTTTCGGCACAATGTACCGCTTTGTACTAAACTGCTAGTTGACTGCACATCCAAAGCAAAAATGTCTGAATAGATTATAAGCAACTCCTCTAACCACGACCAACTTAATTTTTTTTTCCCAAAAGGGCTTTATTGGCAGAAGGCAAAGTACCAACCTGGCTGTTTGGAGACACACACTGGTCATGCCTAATAGTTTTTGTAACCTCCCAAGTCTAACAGCTTCAGTACTAATAGGCTTGTCCATATTCCAAAACATGTGCTTAGTTTTATGGACAATAAATGACATGTCCTTACTCAGCAAAATATTTAAGTAGCAAATACTTCAGTGCATTGCTGGACTTGAACCTGAGCTATGCACCTCTCAGTAAGATGTCAAGACAAAAATCCCTCAAGTTTACCAAAGGCTTCATTTGTAGCCATCAACAACTTCCTGCTGCTCCCCCTTTAAGCTAGAATTGCTTTCCAGAACAAGTGTATGCAGGAGACTAGTTTTCCAAGAACAATGGGATGCAGTGTTGAGTGTGTGTAGGATTTGTATGTGTATTACTTTATTTACCCTAATCCAGGACTTAATAGTTAAAATGACCACCCCAATAATCAGATTCTATACATGGAAAATTTGTCAATGTGCTACAATTTTCCATGTATAGAATCTAATTTTTGGAGGGTTGTCTTAAATTCATCCACCCCACTGCCACAGCAGGGGAAACTGCATCAGTGAGCCACAGCCTGACCCTGCCATGGTCCTCCTTTCTCCCTACCCCAACTTGTTCTGCCATCTGCCCCCTCTTCAGTGCCTGCTGAGCCCGATGCCTCCACCTGCCCCCCATACCTGTGCTGCACCTATCACAGGGATGGACAAAATAGCAAATCCAGCCAGCAGGTGGATTCTGTTTCCCAGTAGCCCCCATGCACATGCCTGGGGCAAGTCTCCATGGAGACCCCAGCCACAGCTACATTGTGATAATGCAAAGCTGGAGTTGTCTTGGAGACCAGCCCCAGCCGTGCTGGCAGGGCAGGGCAGGGGGCTGCTCCGGAGCCGCTGGGATCTTGTGGCAGGGTTAGCTTGGTCTGGGGCACGGGCGGGCAACTATTTTGGGTGGAGGGCTGCTTACCCAGTTTTGGCAAGCTGTTGAGGGCCACATGGGTAGCCCCACCCCCTGACAGGGGCCCCACCCCCTGGTCACCAACCTGGGACCAATGTCCCAATGTTTTTGGTCCCAAGACATTGGGACATTGGTCCCATGTCCCAGGGTCAGCACTGGTGGGGCCCAAAGTGGGCACAGGCTGGCCGGGGTCTGTGGAGCCAGGCTGGGCTGCACCAGCAGGGAGAGCAGGGAGCTGGCCCAGCTCCATAGAGCCCCTGCTGGCTGGGACCCTGCGCTCCTGCCACCCTGCTCTGGGCCCTGCTGGCACTGGTCCCAGGACCCTGGTGTGGGCCCTGTGCTCCTGCTAGCCCCTCCCTCGCCCTGTGCCTGGCACTTCCTGCTGCAGCCACTTGCAGCCCACGGGGCTGTCCAGACCAGGCACAGGCAGCCCCAATGTGAGCTGCAAGCGGCTGCAGCATGGGGCGGGCAAGGGGCTGCTTTCCACCCTCGCACTCAACTTTTCCCCAGGCCACTTTTCCCTGGGATCCTCCCCTACCCGGGGTCCTCCCCGCCTTCCCCCTTACCTGAGGTTCTAGCCGGGGTAACCATGTGGTTCCAGACCAAAAGCCCCCACTGGGGCTTCTGGCTGGGGAGGTGGGGCTGGGCGAGCCCTGCTGTTGTGGCAGGGGCGTGCAGGCAACAGATAGTGGCTCTGTCCTGGCTCTTTGCAGCGACATCCTGGTCCTGACCTGGGGCAGAGCTGTGATCCGCTGCCCGTGCACCCCTGCCCAGAGTGTGCAGACTGCAGATAGCAACTCTGCCCTGGCCCCAGACCAAGCTGCCCCTGCCACAAGATCGCAACAGCTCCAGAGCAGCCCTCCTGCCTTGCCCTGCCATGTACCCTGCTGGCATGATTAGGGCAGGTCTCCATGACAACCCCAGGCTTGTGCTATCACAGCATAGCTGCGACTAGGGTCCATGGAGACTAGCCATATGTGCAGGGGCTGCTGGGAAATGGAATCCACTTGCAGCCAGATCCAGCCCGTGGGCTAGACTTTACCCATCCCTGTCCTACCATTCTTATTCTTGCACCTACACCCCCAGCCCCTCCCCTCCCCACTGAGACTTCCCATGAGCTGCAGCTCTGGTTCCATGAAGTTGCAGTGGTGGTAGCTCTAGCCCCAGGAACTACTATGTGCTCCATGCCATGGGCTAGAGCCACAACTGATGGCAAGCAAGCCATGAGGGTGGGGAGGTGGCGGGGGGAGGTGGCTGGTGGCTGCTGTGGCTTGGACTCCAGCCTTGACCTGGGCTTGGGGCTGGAGTCAGAACCACAGAAGTTGCTTACTCCCTGTCCCCCCCAAACCCTTGCATTTATTCAAATCCAAGGAAAGAGGTGCTCTTCCCTCCCCCTGCCCAATTTTGGGGGTGGGAACTCATCTTGGATTCGAGTAAATATAGTATAAGTCATGCAAACCAGGCTTTGAGCTACAGGAACAGCAGAACCATAGGAGACAGTTTGTATATAGGTAAGTCATAAGACATGTTCCCTCTTCAGTTTTAAGATAAAAAACTTGCAGGATTCTCTTAAAAAATAAGGGATAAAGGATGAAGAGTTTTGCAATACTAATTCATCCTGGTTGCCATGCAAGTACAGCTGAAAGCTACCCAGCCCCAGTTCAGCTCCCCACCTGCTGGAAGCTGCACTTAATGCTGCAGGCAAGGAACAAGGAGTAAGAAGCAGTGAAGCAGTAAAGGAGCTGGGCAGAGGCCAAGCCTTCTGGATATGTGGGGTGTATGTTGCCAACCCCAGCTCTAGACTTATGGATGGTACAGCTCATTTCAAGATGCACTTTGTTTGAAGAAAGTTTGAAAGGGTTTGTTGGTTTTTTTGTGTGTTTTTTTTTTTAAATAAGGCTATATATGCCTCAACATCTCTTTACTGATCTCAAATTCCAGAGGAAGTCTTGTGAAGGTATTTTAGTTCCAGTTCTCGCAGAAGTGTAAAGTACAGACCATATTCCAAAGTTTCCCTACCTAAGGAGCTATAAACTATAGTTCACAAGTATTGTTCAATTCAGTCCCAAAGGCAACAATTTGCACGAGGACTGGGAGACTCCTTCCCCCATCCCCTCCAAAAGGACCTGGAACTTTTAGAAAGCTCCCAGAAAGCCTATACTTACAAGATGAACTTAAACATTCTTTAGTAGTACTTGAAACATGGGCTGGTTAGGAAGAGGGACAGACCAAGACAGACAGAAGTCCATGGCCCAAAGACTGTAACCCTCCTTGCTGCTTTTCCAGAGACGTTAGGCAACTCCCACTTAGACCCCTTCTGCATAGTTTGTTAAGTCTCCCAACCCCCCAAGTGTCAAATTAGAGACAAAAACACCACAGATGTAGAGAAACATTTATTATAGGGTTGCAGGATTTATGCCAATATAAAGTCCCTTATTAAAACAAACTCAAGTTTATAATATGTAGCACACTAGCAACTCTCTACCTTCTTCATACTGCAGTTCTCAAAGAAAACAATACTGACTGCAGTAGTAATGCTACTTGCTCATAAAAAGTTCTGATCTAAAAAGTTTGTGTACAAGCCAAAGTAGTTGAAATTTACAGCTAGTCACATTCACAAGTGGGCCATACCAGAAGAGATTTCATGAAATAGGAAATTACAAGATAAAGCAACTCGGAACCAAAATACTGACAAAACATTGAAGTGTAACTGCATCTTAAATCTAACTAAATACCACAGAAAAACAAAAGCAAAACAAAACAAAAAAAGGATAAGGATTTAGAAACATAAGTTTGGGAAGGTTCCAAATATACATACAAGTTCAATACAGTAATTGCACAAAATGAAGAAAGCAAGTTAGAGGTTTATGATCACTGAGGTTAATTTTACATGCTTCACACATGGAAGTTAATAAACCTTTAACAGTAAAAGTTAAAAGGCTTTCTACCAAAAGACTGAGTGCAAAGCTATTCTAAAGAACTACACAAAAATGTGCAAACCACAGATTAATACATTAAATTTAATCATTCTGTGAAAATCAAAAGGTGGATAGAGTTGGTTCTGGCCAAGGAATTAGTTGCCTTTTCTTTTTTTTTGCCATTCCAGATTATTCTAAAATCTGACACATCCAATGAATGAAATGATCTTATTCTTTTAAATTTACTCAAATTTCTGTTTTTACATCAAAAACTAACTATATGCTGTTATACCAAGGATCAAAGAAAGCTGAAATTGTGAATTTGTTTTATAAACACAAGCAATACACAGAAAATGCATAAGGCTTTTGATTATCACTGCACATTTTAATTGAGAAGTCAGGCTCTGTAGCTCAGACTTCCAAATGAAGATGTGAAATAGTCACTTTCTATTCAGTGCCATTCACTGTTGACAGATCTTAGTTTCAACGACAAAAGAATTTTCGAAATGTCTGATTGCATGACAGTTCTCAACAGAGCGCTTCTGGAAACCTGTGTGGAAGAAAAGACAAAAATCTAGGTAAAAAACAAATAAATACATAAAATAAAATTGTAACTGCTGGTTGCAAGTTGCTTTTTTCTTAGGACAGGGATTGTCAATTGGGGGCATGCGTACCCACGGAGGTACTTGGGAAGGCCCTAGGGGGTACATGTGGGTGGGCTGGGAAGGCATGTGGCTACCCACCACCCCATGTCACCGTTGCCCAGGAGCAGGGATGAAGCGGGGTTGGGGGGGAGCGCACAGGCGCCACCTGGCCAGATGTGGGGGGAGGGGGGAGCTCGCATGCAGTGGCTGCCACTCCATATCCAGTCAAACACCCCCTCCCCTGTGTCTGGCTGCCGGGGGTACACTTATTAAAAAGGTTGAAAACCCCTGTCTTGTGAGACAGCAGTGGCATGACAAGCTAAGGCAAGATAAACAACCTCTATTAGTTCCACCATAGTCACTTGCCCATACATTTGTACGCAACCTTATGACTAACTGAAAGAACCCCGTACCTATCTCTTAGAGGTGTGTTAACTTTCTAGTAACCAACTAGAACAGGTTCCTTAAATTTACAGTTTATTCTCATATTTAATAATTTCTCCATCTTTCTCCAGTATCTTCTTACCAGTTTACCATCTGAATAACTAACACCAAAATAAACTACTCAAGGCTATGCCATAAACCCATCTAAGCCTGAGACTTCCCAACAGATGTTTTCAGATCTGCCCCACTCTACTGTTCAGAATATTCTGAATGGGTACAGAGAGCTATTCTTGTGTTCAGCCATTTTATGCACTAGTACCAAAACAAAGAGGAGGCTTATTTCTGTCCTAATGGAATGAACAAAATCTGCAAGTAACAGAACCTGGTTCTTCATAAGCTTTGACTGTGCTAAAATACTTAGGCTGCATACAGATGTTCGTTTCTCCCAGATGTTTCTTCCAATGAAACAATAGCTTGGGAATTGGACTGTACACATGTTCCAGCACCATGGCTGGAGAGCTTCTTAGGTGATCTCTTCAGTCAGGAGCACTAAAGGGTTGCCACCTCTTGCCCTTAAGGGAGCCCATAAATTGACAACCTGTCCTCTCCTCTGCCAGGGACAGCTGCAGGCTGTCAAGCAGCAGCTGCCACAGACAGCCTCAGGAGGGTTCTTGCTCTGGGAAAATACTCCTCCTTATCCTGCCAATAGACTGATTAGCAGGAAGGGGGCATTCTCCTTTGATGGGAACCATTCCAGGCCTCCCTGCAGGGAGAATAGCCCTGCTCTTTGTACTTCTTCAGGCTGGATGGGAGAAGTCCAGGGAGACTGGGGGAGCACTCCACTGCCATAGCAAGGTCCTGGGCATTATGCCATATGGGCGCAACAGCTTGTCTTGTCCTGTGCTGCTCTGGGCTAACCCAGAACAGTGCAGGGTGAGGCAGGAGCATTTCACTGTGGTGGCAAGGCTCTGCATGACAGCAGCCTGCCTCACCCTGCTCTGGCTTGGATCAGCTGGGTGGCAAGGGGAAGCCAGTGGGCTGGGAGCCAGGCTTGGGGAAAGTCTCCATAAGCCAAGCTCCTGGCCACTTTGGCTTTTAATCATGGCCTCCACTGCTCAGCTGAGCAGCAGGGGAAGGGAGAGGACGCTGAAGGGACTGGAGAGATTTGGGAGGCTTTCTTGTGGCCACTCCCACCCACTGTTTGGCTAAGTGAAAGGGGCTGGGCAGAGAGCTAGCTTGCAAGCCCAGCTCCTCCTCCCCCTCTTCCTTCAGCTAAGCAGGAAGTAGTGGGGAAGGGGAGAGGGGAAGCAGACACTAAACTATGTGGCACAGGAGAAACGTGGTAATTTATGATCAAATGTTTTGCACTAAAGGGCTCTCAGAATGATAAATCTGACAGAGAATGACTCAGCACCTTACTATTACCAATAACTTATGTAACGTAAAAACAAAGGGCATGATTTCTTCCATAAGGAAACAACATTTCAAAATATGCTAGGTGCCTGGAGATCCCCAACACTGCAAATACAAGTGACAAACAGATGAGAGGACCGATTTTTACTTGAAGTTTTAGCTTATAAAACTGCATATTTAAATAGTTTAGTCCCCCCCCCCCCCCCCAAATTGTTTTTAAAAATTTTTCCCCCCCCCCCCCCCGCAGAATAGCAGCTTATAAAGCCATTGGGAACTTTGCACTGTATCTTATTCCGATTAATTTAAGATTTACTAGAACAATGCCCCCAATCCTCCTCTATCCCAGGTGAACTGTCTTGCAGGAGTACTTTAAGAGGCAACAAAATTGGGTCTGCAGCAGACAAATCTAGGACATGAATTCAAGTCAAAATGCTCTCAGAGAGCCTAAATTTCAACCCTTCATACCCAGCCCCACATTTACATCTTTGAGTTTAAACAGTTTCAGAGTCCATGATTGTGCAGAGGATATAGAAAGATGCTACATACTTAAGAAAAAATGTTTTGTTAAACAAGAACTTTAATGCTAAGTTTTAGTTCTAGGCATTTCTGTCTGCAGCATTCTAAAACTCAAAAGAAATAAAATTAAAAAAGGGAGGTGTAAACAAACTTTAGTAGAGCAATACTCACTGCATCACTATGACATGGCACTACCCATTTTCTGAAAAAACAGACTTCCATATACAAATAACTTTTGGGGAAGGGACTTGTAACTTCTGTTTGTATTAATCATGG